TTGATTGTGTAAAAAGTTGGTAAAGAAGAGAGTGAATTCAGATATGACGTGATAGAGACGTGGAAGAGCACATGTGTCGACTCTCCGTAGTTACAAGGGCAAGTGGATGACTAACTTCATTAAGGGTTAATGCGTGATGTAAATGCGTGATTTTTTGTTGAATGTTGTTTTTATAAAACAGAGCGCATTTAAGTGTTAAAGACTGAAAGTGCGATATTTAATGAGTATTTTGTGTACAGAGTGCGCGTGCTGCAGCAGCGCAAGGTGCGCGCGGAGCAGGCGGAGCGGCAGCAGGCGCTGGCGCTGGAGCGCATGCAGCGCCTCGTCGACGACACGCCTTCCGGCCCGCCGCACGCGCACGCGCACGCACTCCTCAACACCTCTGAAGAAGGTCACTTAAGTAATACCAATCACATGTTCTTTGGCTACTATATTTTTGGTTTTAAAGTGCGCTACATACGCTTAGTTTTAACTGATCAGTAGTTATAACTGCGATTTTAAGCAGAACAGTTCGACTCTTCAGTTAAAACTGTCAAAACTGAGCGTCTGTAGCGGGCTCTATAAGCTTTACTTTTGAAAAAAAAGCGAAAATTAGCTTCACTAATGTTTGAGAAACATATCATTTTTATATTATAAATATCTTTTGTAATATTAAGAATAACGCCATCTAGCGTTTAAGAATGAAACTAATAAGAAGCTAATTTTGTAATTATTTTTACAGATCATTTAATCAGTGACAAAAGTGAGACACCGAAGAAACTGGACAAAGTTGATTCGCCGCAAGAGTCTGAAGCCAACAAACAAGTTGACTTGCCGTCCCCATACAAAGATAGTACACCTATGGAAGAGAGCGACAAAGAACTCTCGCCCTTAAAAGATTTGTCTAATAATATGAAAACTAAGGAGATATTGAACAACAATAAAGACGAATGTTCTCCTGCAGATAACTCAAAGATCGACAAAGACAGTGTTATGGGCGATTGTGACGCTATATTAAGTGATTTAGAAAGCGAAGGCACACAACCTGAAGAGGTAACACCAAATTCGTTTTTGTTGATTATATCTAAATGGTAGTAGTTCCACTTTAGTTATTTTATTGTGCCATCTAAACTAATATTTAAATGTTAGTAAGTGTGTAATAAAATGTATCCAATGTGTGCAGGACGAGGACAAGAACCTATCATCGGAGGAGCTGGGCCGCAAGCTGGAGAAGCTGGTGCGGCAGTCGGAGCAGCAGCTGCAGCAGCTGTCCGCCGGCTCGCACGCACTGCGCGCCACCTGCTACGGACAGGACAGGTTCATTATTTATTACTATATACTAGCTGTTGCCTGCGACTTTGTCAGCGTTATATTGTGAAATAAAAAAAAATAAAAATATAGGTCTTGTTACTCAGTGAAAACAGTTTTTTAATGGTGTATCAATTTTTTAAAATTGACACAGTAGTTTTTGGGTTATTTTTTAATACATACAAAAAACAATCGATTAATTAAATGAAGATAATCGAAGCTTAATAATTTTAGTTAAAATGATTATATTCTAAATGCTAATCAGCACTTATAATTACAACAGTTGTATTTTAGTATAGTTTACAGTAGTTTAACAAGTACATTAGTACGTAATTCAGTGAGGAATTCCTCAAAGTAGCTATTTTACTGTAACCCTAATATTACATATATTCCTTGAAACCAAAGTTGTTTCATTTAATATAATTGTATATAGATACTGGCGGCGGTACTGGTCGCTGGGCAAGTGCGGGGGTATCTTCGTGGAGGCGATGGAGTCCGCGCAGCCCGAGATCCTGCCCTACCAGGAGGCGCTGGAAACCGCCGCTATGAAAGGCCAGCCCTTAAGCGATACCGCCAAGAAAAAGAAAAAAGGTAAAACTAACTATTGAATAAATTCGCAAAGATTTTTAATACTCCATCTTATTATTTAATAGCTTTCGATCGCGACTCCATCCGTGTAAATTAAAAAAAAATAAAAGTGAGTAGTCTATGTGTTCTTCCAGACTATATTCTACTTCTATACCAAATTTTAATTAAGATCCGTTCAGCCGTTTATGCTACCAACTACAACAAACATCCATCCATTCAACTAAATAATAGCGTTTATAATATTGATAAGTAAAATTAAAACTTTTCAGTTATCTTTTATGATCCATATTTAATCAATTCAGTAATCACTAAATCCACACTAAACGACAGTTTTAGTCAGAATTATTTACTGTAAATTAGTATTCAAATAAAAAATAAAATTCTAATCATCGCTAGATATAAAAGAGAAAAAAGAGCCATCAGAAGATAAGGAGGAGGAGATAGACGCGCAGCGTGAAGAAGAAGAACTGCAGAGTGAACTGGAACTTAGGAACATTAAGTCTGAACTGAACTTGAGCGATCACACGCAGATTATCAAGTACGAACCTAACGTGAAACACGGCACTTGTAAAGTTGAAGGTAATTACACAATTTAACGCTTTACTATGATAAAATGAAAAAAAAATGACTCCTTAAAAATCTGAAAATTAAAACCAACCACTGAATAAATATGCATTTTTGTTCTTATCTAAAGAGGCGTCTAAAAACTTTGTCTTAATTTCAGTTTGGTTTCATCCTTTTTTAACTTGTTCTTTTACAGGTTCTGCAATAAAAATGGAAGAGAAATATATTCAACAAAAGCAAAATAATGAAGAAGAGGACATGCTAGATATTGAAGACTCGATCCCCACCGCATTCCTAGTCCAGAAACCCACTCACAAACCAATGTTCGCTGCACAAGCGGAACCTATGGATAAACCTCAAGAGATTGTCAAAGTAGAAAACGTCGTTAAAACGGAAACTATGGAGAAAGAGAACGTAGAAGAGAGTAAAGATGAACTAGTCAATAATCTAGAAGAATTGAGAAAAATGGCAGAAGCGGTATCCTCACAATTGGACGCCGCTAAGAAAGCTGAAGCTAAAGTCAAAGACGAAACTGAAATCGTAGAAAGACCAACAAAGAAAGAACTCATGGATGCAGAGAGTGCGCACGCGCAACTTTATACCAAAATGCTCGAAGGAAAATGGTTCTCAATACTAAGGCATGAGAGTTCATATTTAACTAACATTAACGATGAAAAGAGTAACGAACAGAAAGTTCCAGAATTTTGCGATAATGAACACACATGCTCCGAAGTAGTGATGTGCCAAGGTCATAAATGGGATGTATCGAATAATTTACATTTGCTCAACGATCCGAGTTTATTCACACTCAACAGTATGGTGACCAGTGTGCAAGTGCCTACTAATAACATTTACACAGATTCAAGTCTGACTATGTCTGGTCTGGACCAGGATATGTTGGACGCTAGTGTTAATAAAAATGAAAATCTTGAAGGGGACGAGGTAGAAGAAGATAATAAAGAACAAGTAAGTTTCTAGTCATTTTATTAAGCATACTACTTCAAGTACACTATTAAATTATAAATACTTTATTTTATTGTTTATTAAAGACGAATTATTCAAAAACATACTGTGATTGCTAACATCCTACGTCACGAATTAGTGTGTGTTTACACTTTATTTATTAGTATAGATATACTCATAGATTATACACTATTAAATTGTTTCTAATCTTTATTCAGGATAACGATCTGGAGAAGGAACTGCAAGCGGACGCGGCAAAGCAGGAGGCGGCATCGCAGAAGGCGAAGGCGTCCGGCCTCTCCAGCCTCGGCCTGCTCAACTTCAACGCGCTCAGCACGTACGTGACGTGCGACAGCCCGCCGCCCATACAGATGTCGCCCGAGGAACTCGACCAGCTCGACCACTGCAAGATCCATGGTCTGCCCAAGAAGTTAGAAGGTGGATTCGTACCTAGAGAGCTACGGTAACTTTTTCTTTTTCGTTTTATAATCTTCACTGACTTTCAGAAACGTCCGACATGTGTTGATTAACATTAATATAGGAATAAAAAATCATCAACACAAAAGCCTTTTTGTTCACGAAATATGTGATTTTGTTTTAATACTTACAACTAGCTTTTGCCCTCGACTCCGTCCGCGTGGATTTTAAAAAACAAAAGTGAGAGTAGCCTATGTATTCTTCCAGACTATCCTCTACATCTATACCAAATTTCATGGAAATTCGTTCAGCTGTTTACAAACTCTAAACTACATCCATCCATCCAAACTTTCGCATTTATGTTAGTAATATTTTGTTTTGCTTTAGTCACGGATGGTGGCGTATCAACGACATGGCTGAGGTGGGC